GCGAGGTATGTCACCTACAGGCTATCGAGGTTCGGTATGGACCATTAACACGATAGTCGTAGACTGTATCATTGGCTGGGGTGAGAGCCGCCCTGAAACGCGTGTTTTACGGTATATAGCGTTCGCGTGAATATAATAAATTATTATATTTTATTGAATATAATTAAAATGTGACTTTTTTGGCCCTGCTTCTTGTGTAAAATTAATGTTCTAGAAATATCAATTTCACAAAAAATGTAGCAACAATGTACACTTGTGAAACGCTCTTTGCTCACATCAAAAACTAATTAACGAAAATGCGATTAAAATTGGACGTTTATCGACATATAAGGTTATCACTTGCAATTACGAATTCATTGCGGTTCGTTTAGAGTTGTTGAAACAATACGCCGTAATATCAATAAGCTCGATAAAAGGTGCAATAACTGAAATATGCAATTAGCGTTTTATGTAAGCGACATTTGCGTAAATTATTGAGAAAAGCAAGAAAGTATGCAACGCAATATAATTAAAAGTAACTAAACTGTCTTACCTATCGAAACTTAAACCAAAGACTTAATAATTTGAAGAAATATATAATTAATTAATATATATGTAATACAATGAATTACAATATACTGGAGAATAGAGTACCCCAAGTATTTCTATAGAGTTTTGTACTTTTTAATTATATCACTTCAAATATAATGTCTACCGCTCCGTTGAAAGCACTAAATCCATTTGTTAAAAAGTTGTCGACAAAGTGCTCTGCGTGCGTTGTCAAGAGTACTATGGCGGTCGCAATTTATAACAGTCGCTTTACAAACTTCAGAGCTGGTGCGTTGTGGGAACCAGTGATCTGTCGACGTTCCAATTGTCAACAGTCAAGTTGTGAATAATGGTCACTTTTTCCTTTTAATTTATCATCGTCTTGTCTGGCGAAGTTGACAGCTAAAGCCTTCCGAATTGTGATTGTTTCAGTATTCAAAATTAAAGGTTAAGCAGAACTATTCAGCTAGAAAATGCAGCTAGAGTTATTGGCACCATGCCGCGTGGACTACGTTTATTAGGTAATATCGTAGAAATCATCAATAAGAAAATGATTTTCTGGTCAATTCAAAGAGTTTAACCATCCTTTTGAAAACTGAAATAACATTCCACAAGCCATTTGACAGCTGATTAGTTAATTTAAATGATGATCATCGCTTCAGAAACTGCGCGTTAGTGTTGTAAATATTGGAAATAATAAAAAGAAATATAATTATGATGATTTTATCTCTCTCAAAAATGTAATTCGAAATGGAATGCTACACTGATCAATCACTGTCTACAATCAGGCTGGATGGTAGTAAAGTGTGAGCCGGTGTATAATTTAAAAAAAAATCACGCTAAACTCGATCGGTAAATTGAACTCTATACGGATGAACATTAGCAATATTATTCGATATCACGCGATCACCGATAAGTACAGCAATTCGCGCGGCGTCCTTGCAAGGCCGTTTGTAGGCGCACCGGTAAACGGCGCGTGGGTACAGTTACGGACGCATTAGCGATACTGCTTTGTTGTTCGAGTCGTGGGAAAGGCTGATGGGAGCTTTTTTTCTTAACGACTACGTGTGGGCAACAGCGGTTGATGGTGGAAGCGATAGCAACCGAGATCGTCTGCGGTGGCTACTTAGTAGATTGCCGGAGATTGCAAACGTATTGAAATAATGATGACTAGATAAATGTAAGTATGTGTAAGACAAGCAGAAAAATTATTATTTTTAGAAGGTTAATATCTCACCTAAAGATTTCTAGCGAAATAGTTATTATACATAATCATGATCGATAAATTACGTTGTTAAACTTATCGGAATTTGCAGTGGAGTATATTAGGTAATTAGTTAGGTATATTAGATAGCGCTTCTTTAGTTAGGTATGTCAGTATGTGGGGTAGGTCTATGTTCAGCACTAGACTCTAACAGGCAGAAAACAGGCAGAAGCTACAACAAAACAAATATGGACGGTAAATTTAAAATACTTTAGCTTCGGATGACAATACATGAGTAACATAACTTTATATTTTAGTGTAGACATGTTTATTTTTAACAACTTTATCGATTGCATTAATCTTTACATGGTATTTTTTTTTATGTGAGAAGGTGGCAAGAGAGCTGACTGTGCTGATTTTTCTGATGTCAATTGATAACCGCCGTGCAAAACCCGTAGGCTGCAGATGCATTGCCACCTTTTATAAAGGCCCATTTACACGATGCCATTTTCTTGTACATACAAGAGCAATAATTGAATGCAATAAGTTGCACACAATAATTGACCATCAAGAATTGTAAGCAATAGTATACACGCAGATATGGTAAAAAAAAATTGAATGCGATTATTGTATGCAAGTCTTGACAAGAAATAATTGCAAATGTCTTTTGTTTACACCAATGCAATTATGTTAAGGCGATTATTGCTTTCAAGTTTTGACTTGTCTAAACACATGCTTGTATGTGCGTGTACAATTTATTGGCGTGTTGCTTCAACTATTGCACGTATTTGCGTTGAAAAATTTTTCATGCAAGTGTTGAACGTTTTACAAAGGGCTGTTTATTTAAAAAAAAATGGCTCAATAATAAGTGTTCAACTTAGATTATGCCGATTAAATATATTTCGTTGAGATTTATTTATTATTATCCATATATTAGTATTCATTTTTTTATCCAACTTTTTTTACGACCTTCTCTCAATATTTCTTGCCTCAAAAGAACAGCAACGATTAAACACCCTCACTCATCGCACTCATGTTTGCAAAGGAAGAGAGAATGCAATTGAATACAAGAATTGCTTAAGAAATTATTGTGTGTGCTGTTACACCAAGGAAAGTTTTGAAACAATACTTGAAGCAAGTCTTGTTCAACAGTCAAGAATGTTATGTGTTGTTTAGACCATGCAACTCATTTATTGCTTCAATTTAATTGTATCTGAAACTGGCACCATGTAAATGGGCCTTAAAGTAGGCTCCGGTTACCTCACTCACCAGAGTAAACTGAGTTCGATCCCCGTTGCCAGCACCAGTGGTTAATTTTAAGTGCTGGCTTATCACGTGCTCACCGGTGAAGGAAAACATCGTGAGGAAACCTGCATATTTTGGAAAAGATAATAAAAAAAATATTCCGAAGATATATGAAGTCCGCCAATCCGCAGTGGGGCCGCGTGGTGGACTATGCCCCTGATACCCTCTGTACAGAGGAGGCCTTCGCCCAGTTGTGGGACATGTACAGGCTGTTATTTTTTTACTTTTATAAACATATATTAATATCTAAAAATGGACAAATCTTGCCTTGCCTTAACCCTGCCTTTCTATAACTGAGACCATTTAACAACACTAGCGAACTTGTTTATTGATTTTACTTCAATAATGGAGGCATAGGCAATACCCATAATACCGCTCTCTCGCTGCTGCGGCGTTGCAGTTGCGAACAATAAAATTCCGCATAAATTGCGTGAGTTATAAGCGAAACGATCTCGACGGGCCCTGTTTATACCGTCGCCCCATTCTGAATAACACTCGAGGTGCCCGTTGCAATTATATAAAACGCGAGCGTTCCGCCGGTCCGAACGATAAATCACATTGTGTACACCAATGCAGCGGGCTGGTCAGATGCAATCGGTCACCAAGTTTATTACGGCTGCTGGAGAATTAATTCTAGTTGCACGGGAGTAGCTAGAACGGTCGTTGTAGCGTGTGGGTGGATGTCAGTCTTTCTACGCCATTTTCGAACAAGTAATATTTTTACACGACGTTATCTAGTCCGAAACTAAGCAAAGTTAGTATTATGGACTCTAGGTAACTATAAACATACTTATTCTTTGTAAATGAAAACATATTATAGAAATATAGACACTTACACACTAAAAAACACTCTGTTCATCACGCAATATTTTTACAGTAATGGGGATCGAACCCACAACCCTTGGCGCAGGGGACATGCCCACTATCCAGTAACTCACCGTCAAAGAATAAATATCCTTAATAAGTTGCAACGATTGAATTTACGGGAAACTGTGTATGACGTTTAGAATCAAAGTTCTTTTTTTTTTTTTTTCAATTATGTTTTGTTAATTTAATAAATAATAAAAGTACCAGGCTTTGGAAACAAGCATGTCTCCATTATACATAAAAAAATAACATGCAAGGTCAACCTTTATGCGTAAGACTGGTTATAATTATTACCATTTTATAATAATTTTGAATTTCGTAGAATATAGATGTTGGTTCCTAACGTGCAAATCAATGAGAGGCTGATTTAGGTATGTAATATTAAGGAGTTTGTTAGGGTCCATTATGCTTAAATCCAAAAGCGATTTGCTTAAACGGTCTAATATAAATCTCCTTATAACAATAATGCCTAACGACCCTTTGAATAGCGCACTCTAGAAAATTATTACGTGTTCAATAGATTTTAGGTATCTGCTTGATAAAATTATTCTAGGCTACTCTGCTCTCGAAACTCGCGCATCCGCACTTAAGCATGTTACATTACGAGAAGAAAAGAAACAGGATATTTATTTTATTAAAATAATTCACAAAGAGTACATAGAGTGGAGAAAGTCGTTAATTAAAGAGGCATACGAGTACAACAGACACGGCGTTGGCTTGAAATCTTCGTTACGTTTTATTTTGTAGATAGCAAAGTTTAGCAAAAGAGATCACCCAGTCCATAATTAAAGTATACTAGTTGATCCGTGCGCAATTTTCGCAAAATGCCGAGATCTTATTTTTAACCGACTTTCTCAATTCCGAATTTCCGAGGTTCTCAATTCTGTCATTTAAACAAATTGTCAATTGATGGCATCATTTTACATTCTTATAAGACATTTTCAAACACAAGTTTCATGAAGACATTAACTATACACTTATCTATTTTTAGTCTACAGTCAACCATCGAAAAATTACGGAGGTTATGGTGTGCCGCCAAAAGTACACCTTTTGAGAAATACCAATATGTGTATACATTAAAGTGGAAGGTACTCACCGAGCCCGCAGATGAGGTACGTGGGGGGCGGTTTCAGCACGGATCGGGAGTACGCCCCCCGGACGGTTTCCAGGGCCCGAGGAGCACCAGCCACCAGCAGGACCCCAGGGGACACGTAGCCAGCGTAGCGGAGCTCCGCCGTCGCCGCTGCCAAAGCACCAGCCCACCAGCATTTCGCGTTCGCCGCCAAGAAACTCTGCGGGGGAAGCGTTAGTCAGGGATGAGTTGAATCAAAATGGATTCAAAGTAGTGTGAAAGGTGATGGGTAGTAAGTTCCGACCATTGCGATCTAGAGATAACTTACTTTTGAAGTCTGCCTTTCAAGAACATTGAATCCATACCCCATACTGTCACAAGGCGTTTTACATACATAAATTTTACGTGAACAAACACACAGATCCGAAACAATTATCTATTGGTCACACAAATAGTTGTCTCGTGTGGCAATCGTATCCACGACTGCCGCCGAAGGCTTGACAACTGAGCCACGGATCACTCGAGCCGTTGAGATCCGATGAAATCACAAATCGAGGTAGGTATATGGGATCAAACGTGGCATACTTTTTATCATTAAGAGTGAGAGTAAAATCTATTCAAATATATAATGTCAGCTAGCTTCCTTTGCTACTTCTTCCACATGGTGAGGAAAGTCATTAACTTTAAAACTATCATCACCACCGAGTTAACCTCGTTTTCGATAATTCCGATACACATGTTTCTAAATTCGTGGCTTTAAAGCGAGTAAGCTTTTAAAATAATACTAAACAATTTGCCTTGTTCGGTGCATTAATATAAGGCCATCTCAAAAGCAAATCATCACAGTTATCTATCTATAAAAGAAACTATTTGCATTTCCACCGTCTTAGATAGGTTTATTACACCGCAATTCATTATTACTAGACATAACGTCACTTTCAATCAGAGCGTCGGGCAAGTGTTCATTATATTTTCTGAGCTTAAAGTTTATGCTACGTAATAGGTGTTATTAAACCAGGCGAGGGCTTATATAAACATAAACGCGGTGTTAAATTACTTAGCCCATAACTTTTTATTGAACATGAAAATAAATTTAAATTCACCAAGAAATTTATTCTATTTAATCATAATGTAGTCCTAAAATTTAATTGACGACTACATATGCCTCGTCTAAAACTAAAGAATTCAAATACCTACGTATAATTATATTTTGTACAAAACAAATGGGATCTTTTTTATTATTTAACAACCAATTGAGTTTTGAAGGTATACATGAATAAAGCTATAGCAACTTTAAAAGATCACACTTTCCAATAATACGACTCAATATTTTTCACAGCAAGCGGAGGGTGTGGCGGTTACGGAGAATTTCGTTGGAGATTTTTAATTATATTTCTGTTAAAGAAAGTAATCTTCATGGTGGTATTTAATTCAATTAATAATAACTTACATATATTTTAAATCATATCCCCATATACATAGCCTTCACATCATTCACTTACTTTATACATCATTTAATTGGGGTTCATAACTAATTATTCGAGATGAGATACTATTAAATTTACTGCCATCAAAATTTATAGTTATAAGATTAACTTAATTTTGACACTTAATAAAATTAAGTTATCCATAAAACTACTAAGCCTGTGTAATAACTTTTTTATGAGAATAATCTGAAATATGTAAAGTCTGCCCATCCGCAGTGGGGTCGCGTGGTGGACTATGTCTTAATAATCTCTATACAGAGGAGGCCTTTGCCCAGCGGTGGGACGTGTACAAGCTGTTACTTTACTTTTTACTTTATACACAAGATGGTAAACGGACATCTAGTATTGCCCATGAATAACTACCGCACCAGATGTAGAACAGAATGATTGTAAATAGCAGGGGTATTAGCAACTTCATGCATGGTTGGCCTCCAAATACAAAAGTACACAACTTTACTTCACGCTGATCCACAGCGAGGTATGGTCCTCAACTGAGTCACCTTATTCCTGAAGAAGCAACAGCCGCTGCGTCTCTCTACCTTACCATATGCTAACCAAAAGCAAAATTCAAGTTTACACTGTTTGCAATAAGAACTTATATACTTAAATTAAAAAAAATCCTGCTTTTGAGTGAAGGCGATTTCACTCGATGGTCCCTCGAATCCGTTGGACTCCGATACCGATCTACATCCGTGCAGTTTTGGCGTCGCCTTGACCCGCGCCTCACAACGCTCGCTCGGCATTTTGTGTGATTTCGCAACGTGCACTTCAGCTTTTCGTGCTGCAGCCTACAAAATCGATTGCGACATCGTGCGAGCCGCGCATTGGATGTTTAACAAGCCGATAACTTTGACTTTTCAAGGACTAAGTATGATTACTAAAACAAGGCAGCATAGAAACGGGTGCCGTGTTGATTATCCGGTTCGAAGGACCATATGGCTATATACTAATTTTCTAAATATAACGGTAAATCACTATGTTACGCTTAAGTGAAAAAATATCCGCCTATGAGAGCGCTTGAAGGGATGTATCATCAATCGCATCGAGATTATCTTCTAATCTAATTTACTTAAATTAAATAAAGAGAAAGTCTTTGAATGAAATGTTTATTGAAATACGACTTAATGAATTTGGCTCAATTAGATCACTTACGTAAACGTTCATTACTAATAATCTTGTAGCGAATTTAACAGTATTTATAATGAATCCGCACCTTAAAGTGAAAATCTAATTTGCACTCTAAACACTCAATAACAACTTACAATAATACTGCCAAGCGTTGTAGAGTAAAATTTTCCTAGGATTGAATTAAATAACTCTTACATGGTACAAGACGAAAATGATAACCTGTTTAAATTTCTAATTTTCTATAGTTATTACAACATACAACTACAACATTTAAATTCAAATATGACGGTGAGTAAAAATCAAAAATTCAGATAGAAACACTTTATGGTTTTACTACTTTTACCGCCGTCTTACATTAATGTAACGTCTAACAGTAAACAGCACCAAATAACTTTTAAATGTCTGCAGCACGAATTAATCCTGAGTATCACTCGCTGTTACACTAATGGGCAGGTCCGTCCACGTAATTACCATGACTATTATAATTCTGCGTTTCGTCTGGTGAGTGAGGTAGCCGGGGCCCACTTTATCAAAAGGTGGCAACGCATCTGCAACCCTAGGAGTGTTGCAAATCAATGGGCTGCGGTAATTTTAAATCAAACGGTGGTAGAGCCACGCAGCGGCCTCGGCTGTTGCACGAATGGGCAGGCTCGTTCAGGTAAGTACCACGACCTCACAGGAGACCAGCGTAAAGTGGAAGTATGACAAATACTTTCGCGTTTCGTCTGGTGAGTGAGGTAGCCGGAGCCCAATTTCCAAAAAGGTTGTCAACGCATCTGCAAACCCTCGGGTGTAGGAGACGTCCATGGGCGGTGGTATTCACAGGTGGTTAACATCAGGTGAACCGCCAGCTCATTTTCCACCTTTTCACATAACAAAAGCTTAATAGTAAGATAACTCTTTGTATGTTGAATAAAAATTAAATCGTCAATCGCTCCGCTTCTATGACTTGGCACTTATTGGCTCGTGAAAGACAAAACTACAGACCTGTCACCTATACCGCAGGCGTATTAGCAGTCCCTATAATTATAACATTGTACCAATCCTTTACTCATTTTATTATATCTTGCATCGTTTACCACATAATAAACAATTTTAGTATTCAACTGCTCTTTCCAAAACCAACGGTTTTGTCCATGCAACATTGAATTATTTTTATGTATAACTTCAAGTGCTGTTCTTTTACAGTTTTAGTAAATGTTTTTGTATTGGACAAATACTTACTTTAAACATTTTATTCAATGGCAAAGTGAAATACAAACACATTGTTTTTGGAAAACAAAAATAGAATATAAAACTGAAAATAAGGAGAATGTCATCTAGAATTCGCATATATTTGTTCGCTAGTTAGAAAATATTAAATGCAACATAAAATTCTTAAGGGCTTTTTATCATTGATTAATTGTTAGAATAATAATATCATTTCTATATTTTAACACTCGTACAAAACGAAACTTTGTTGTAGTTAATATAAATATAATTATTTAAGATTGAATTAGAATCGTACTGCAGAAATATTTGATGTTCCAAAAGTCGTTGAAAAATAAATTTTAAAGTATTAAAAAAAAATTTTATTTTCGTACATTACTTATACATTTATGTTTACTCTCCACAACTTGTTTCAAATCCTTTTTTAATAAAAGAACTTCAAGAAAAAAGTCTCAACGCGACAAAAACGTAACGTGACTTAATTGAGCAACAAATGGTTTTAATATGCTTAGTTTTTGCCAACACTTTTTTCTAAGACTGACACAACAATTTTAAGGTCAGTCACCATTTCTATGAGTTCAAAAAACAGCTGCGGTTAATGACACTGCACCCATCAAAAATGATTTCTCCGCAATGATGTAAAGCATGCAGTCAATCTTACTACCGACAATTGTTCTCAAATTAAATACGCTAATCGTAGTGATTTACTGTGACTACGTTAAGTATTAATTTTATTGATCTGATGCATCTTTAAAGAATTTAACTCCTAATTTAATTAAAATGAAATGCTATGTTTTTTTTTAACATCGCCCTTACTTTAGGATAATATTATCCTGTGTTGTAAGGACGTTTTACAAACATAAATTTCACGCGGACAAAAACCCAGTTGAGAAACAACTATATGTTGGGTCACACAACAAAGTGTCCCGTGTGGGAATCGAACCCATGACCCCCGACGCCGAAGCCAATACCTTGGCAACTGCGCCACGAAGTCATCAATTTGTCCAATAATAATTAGTTTTAATCTAGAAAAAAGGATGAGTATTCTTTACCGGATCATAAATGTAAGTCATTTAAAATAAAGGTAGTAAGTGCCGGAAGTGTCCTTATTTTATGAAAATACTTTAAGGAAAGTTGCTTAACTTAGTCAAAATGTATTTGATGGGAGTTAACTTAAAAAGTCCTAGTGTCAATATCATTCAATAAAATAAGTTTCATATCTGGATACATAAAGAGTGATTCCAATCATCATTTAAGCTTAAAGTTTGTTTCTTTGTAATATTGTCTTTTTTTTTTTCAAAGAAATACATAATAGTGTAAAAAAAATATATATGCGAAAAATTTCAATCCCTGCACTTTTGAATTTTTCTAATATTAGGTTTTTTAATAATTCTCGAACCTTTTTACCGTGATAAAGAATTCACAACAGTGAGTGAATGTGCACGCGACTTTATAACGTGAATTACAAGTTGATGACATCAAATAATCACCTTGACGGTGATGTCATCTCAGGTAAAGTTCGCACTTCACATTTTTTATTTGGATTACACTTAAGGCCATACTTGTACTAGACTTTACTGCTAAATGACGTAATCGCATGATGGACGCATTAGCAAAGGAAATGTTATTGAAAGCTTAGTTTTGCCAAACATTTTGCCATTATGTATAGTATAAATTTCTTACTGTAGCGAACTGGACGTATCATACTTTCGAGTTTCATCTGGTGAGTGAGGTAATCGGGGATACGCTTTTAAAGATTGGATAAGCATCTGCAGCCCGTCGGTATTGCCGATGTCCATGGGCTACGGCAACCATTAAAGCAAGATGTCCTGTCTGTTCAGATGCCACTTTTAAAAATGAAAAAAGTATATAAATTAAGTCCATAGCTTGGTGTATGTAAACCAGTCGGAGCCTGTTAAATACATGTTAAAAATCTACTCTTCCAATATAAGTATTGGAGATAAATCGCTTATGATCTACTCGTAACAAGATCGATTAACTCGTTAGCTGCATGGATATCTCAACGGGGGTCATTACAAGGTGTCGGTTATTCAATTTCGCGCGATTTGATTGTGCTGCCACTTGTCAGACGTAATCTCCGAGCTGACCTTTTGGAAAGTGATCATTTTGGCCGCAACTACGCATCTGTCCGTACCATCCGGGTAAGTACCACGACCTCACAGAAGACCAGCGTAAAGTGGAAGTATGACAAATACTTTCGCGTTTCGTTTGGTGAGTGAGGTAGCCGGAGCCCAATTTTCAAAAGGTTGTCAACGCATCTCTAACCCTCGGGTGTGGCAGATGTCCATGGGCGGCGGTATTCACTTAACATCAGGTGAACCATCTGCTCGTTTGACAACTGTTCGCATAAAAATAAATAAAAAATAAAAATAAATCCGTATCGAAACGGGTGTCCGTCGTGAATCGAGGTGTTTCTCGTCTACAGCAAGGCGACGGCGTTCGTAACCGATCCGGAATCGATTGCGACAACGGATACCGGATCATTAATGCGATTATGTCTATTTTCGCGGCGTGAAATTGATAGAGAATGATGATCGTCGTTGAAGACGAGTTGAGTAAGTGTTTCGTCTGCGATAGAAAAATTAGAAACCGCTTAAAAAATTACTACGGCCCAGACTTGCAAAACGTCAACCACATTTACATCTTTACGACGTAAGAATCGTCGACCTAGGTGATTTTTATTTTTTTAATAATAATAGTACTAAGTTTAATGTGATCTGAATATCTAGTTCATTGTGTCATTGACACATTCATTTATTCTTCGCAATTGCGCTAATGCATTGAAAACTAAGATATCTATGGTGTATATTCAATAGCAAACATATTATTGATTAATTATATACTCGGATAAGAAACTTGTGTTCCCACAGATCTGTTGTTTCCTTCATTTTAAAGTCATATACTTTTTTAATTATAATTAAAAACGAAACACTACTTTTTAAGTAGTCTTCACGGCCTACTTGACTTATTTTCTCGCCTAAGCGATGAAATCTTTTAAAGTTAGGGGGGTGTCTACCGTCCAGCTAAGTATTAAAACCATTAGTTATCAAAAGTATATTTTATTGGACGTAAGTATTAAAACTATTAGATATTAAAAACGTTAGTAGTTGTAAAACTCGCAATCCAAGCAGTCAGTTTCTCACTATAACGACGCTAAGTGGGCGAACTATTCATCGTTAAAGTTAACTCTTCCTTCCACATTCCACGGGAAAGAGCGAGCGTTGCTCACAAGGACTTAACGTCGCAAGAATTTCACGCATGACGCGAACAATCGGCGGGTTCCCAACGAGTTAAGTATGCGGCAATTCATCGCGCATAACGAGGATACCTCACCCGGGAACGGACTCCACTCACACGGGAACCGGCGGCGGACCGTGGCGCACAA